GGCCTCAAACCCTGAGAGTCTTCTGCCTCGACTCCCAGGTATTGGGATCAAAGGTGTGCGCCACCACTGCCCAGCCAGTCCTCACTTTTGATGGAGGTGTAATGCGCAGCAGAATTCATGTGTCATAACTGCATCTCCACAGACAACACCTAAGTAAGCAGGAGGAACAGGGGACACTCAAGAACCCCCACAGCGCCCTCTCCTGAAGTGTCTCCTGATAGGGCACACTGTGGGGGAGGGGAGCCCTTCCTTGAGACTGGCTCTTCCTCCTTTTACAGTCTCATCTCTTGATCAGTTGGCTTCCGTTGAACCAAAGTACTTGTGTGTGTGGAGGGTGGGGGTTGTGTAGCTACTGAGTCACGGCCGAAAGCAATGTGGAAAAGCCGGACAAAAATGCAGCTGTGGGTACTGGCTGTAGAGATTCCTTGGAGTAGGCAGAGTGGAGCTGACTGTGGGTTGGTTGGGTCACCTGTTGAGAGGAGGTGACAGATGAGCAGCCTCTAAGTGCCTTCTGCAGGAAGGGGGTGGCAGAGACAGTTTCCAACAGCTCCCTCATTCTCAGGGCTCAGAACAAGCCGTGGACTTTATCTGAAGGGTATGAGCAGTCAGTCGGTCAGCTAGAAACAGACTGGGTGCCTTGAGCAACCGTCACTCCCCTGTAAACTCATGTTCACTTTTGTAGCCTTTGCTAGTTTGTTTGTTCAAGCTTTTGGATAAAAGTTAACTGGGGGCCAAGCAGTGGTAGCCCACACCTTTAATCCCCACACTCAGGAGGCAAAGGCAGGAGGATCTCTGTGAGTCAGAGGCCTGGCCTGGTCTACAGAGCAAGTTCCAGAGCAGCCAAGGCTACACAGAGAAACTCTGTCTTGGGGAGAAAAAAAATGGCTAATTTGGAGCTTGGCATGGTGGCACATGCCTTTTTCATGGCCAGTGTAGTCTACATGAGTTTCAGGCAACCAGGGCTATGTAAGATCTTGTCTCCAAAAGCAAACAAAAGTTGATTTGGTAGACTAGAGAGATGACTCAGCCGCATGCATTGCTCTTTCAGAGTACCTGAGTTTGGTTCCGAACACCCACATTGGGCAGTTCACAACTGCCTGGATTTGCAGCTGCAGAGGATCAGTGCCTTGTGGCTGCTGATGTCACCTACACTAAGTGCACACACATGCATATAGACACAGGCATTTTCTTTTAAATGAGCACGCACTCTCTCTCCCCCTCTCCCTTCTCCTCCCCTCCTCCCATGTTGAGGAGTATTTTCCCTGCATGTATGTCTGTGTATGACATTCATACCTGGTAACGGCAGACTCTAGAAGAGGACACTGGAATCCCTGGAACTGGAGTTACAGGTGGTTGTGAGCCACCGTGTGGGTGCTGGGAATTGAACACAGGTCCTCTGGAAGAACAGCTAGTGCTCATAGCCACTGAGTCATCTTTCCAGCCCCAAAAAGTTTAATTTACATTATTCTGGTGTTGGGCTTCCCTATGCAAACCGTTGTGTGTGCAGAGCAGGAAGTGCCGTCCCTGTGCTTGTCCCCAGCATAGCCAGCCTGTTGGTAAGTTCTAGAGACAGACACAGTAGCACCATGGCTGCCTGGCCTTCCCAGATAACTGAAATTGTAGCCATTCATTGTCGAGCATCGTGTTTCCCTGCCATCTGGGAGACAAAGGTCACCAGGTGATGGTTAGGTGCTATAGAAAACCATGGCTGTAAATTGTCTCCACAAATGGAGGAGTACCCTTGATGTCCCCTGCATTGACAGAGGGATACTTAGGGAGACAGCCCTGTAAAGACAGCAGTGAGGACTTGCGACTTCCAGGACTCCTGGCATGTCACGATGTCTGTTTTCTACAAGGCCGCTGGGTGCCGTCAAACTGGCCTTTGCTAAGTGAGACTCTTTCTCTTTTCTGTTGCACAAATAGGTCACAGCCACCGCCTTGTCTGCCTGGCTCATTTGCTTTCCACGAACTCCGGAGTGGGTGGGTGCACCCCCAGCAGCTCTTGCCCAAGCCTGATGACTGCTCTGTCATTATTAGAGGGTTGTCTTTCACAAGATACTTGTGAGGCCACATTTTTCTTGAAAACCCTTATTTTTGGTTGATAACAGCACTGACCTTAAGCAACTTAAAAAGAAAAGAAAGCAAAGGCCTCTCCTAGTGGCCTTTGAGAGCTCTGTGCTTCAAAGACGGGCGCTGCGGATGAGGAGCCTCTTGTCCCAACCCCCTGTCCCCAGTGTGCCTGTGTGAGCAACAGAGTGCCTCTGCACAGGTCAGCGTCGGCTGATGAAGGCCTTTAGTCCTGCAGTGTATCATCACCATCTTTAGAAAAGTGTGGATGATTTCTCAAAGACTGTTCTGCCTGTGTGCCTGCGTGTACACTCGGAGGCCAGAAGAGGGTGTCAGATCCCCCGGAACTGGAGTTACAGGCAGTTGTGGGTGCTGGGAATCAACCCTGGGTTCTCTGCAAGAGAAGCAGCTGCTCTGTGCCACCTATCCAGTCCCTATCCCTTTTTGGTTTCATCTTGTTTTTGTTTTTTGAGACAAGGTTTCTCTGTGCAAATCTGGCTGTCCTGGAACTTGCTTGTAGACCAGACCTTAAACTCAACATCCGCCCTGCTCTGTCTCAGTGCTGGCTTTAAAGATAGTTCTCTCTTTCTCCCTGGGGTTCTGGAGCTCCAGCTCATCAGACTTCATGGCAGTCACTCTCACCCATCATCCAGCCGTCTTGTCAGCCCATAGATGTTTAAGGAGAAAAAATTTAAAACTGTTTTAAATTTGGTGTGGTAGCTTATGCCTCTAATTCCAGTATTCAGGAGGCTGAACCAAGAGGATTGTCCTTAGTCTTAGACCAGCCTGGGATTCACAGTTCAAGGCCAGCCTAAGCAATGTTCTCCTAGCTCATAAAAGCAAAACAAATAGAAATCTGTCCTTCCTACACTGTGGGTATATGAGCCTCTCGGGAATTTGAGGCTGCCTCATTGCGTTGAGTGGTTACTGTTAATTTATTAGCTTTTGCAAGTGGCCCTGTTGGCTGTTTTGTTTTTTGGGGGACAAGGTCTCATTATGTAGCTCTAACTGGCTTGGAACTCTGTATAAACCAGGCTGGCCTCAAACTCAGAGATCTGGCTGCCTCCACCTCCTGAGTGCTGGGATCAAAGGCATGCACCACCACACTAGGCCCACACTGATACACACTCAAAGCCAGTGACTGTCACCTGTGGCTAGGGCTGCCGGCATGACAGATGGGCAACCACATAATGAGCTCCTGGGCTTGATGGCTCTGTCGCAGCTGATAGATTAGGTTGTTGTCCTGTTTGATGTTTTATTTCACTTTTAAATGTCAACATGCAAACATCAGCTATGTTGGAGCTTTCAGATTTCTAGCTTGACTGATGTTCAGCATCTCAAAATCCCTTTGTGAAAACAATCTTACCAACTTCCTTTCAGAACACCACTGTGCAGTGTAGTCTAACCACTGTTTTAGTCAGCATTTCCTTTGCTCCCCCATTTTGGAGTTGAGCTCACTTCTGTATTTTCTCTTCCTCCGTCCCTTTTTTGGAGACAAGGTTTCACTGTGTACCCATGTAGACCTCAAAACCTTAAGAGCGAATCTCCTGCTTCTGCTCTCATGGCTAGAATTAGAGGTAGAGGCCACTACACGTTTTGTGTTTTTTTCTTAATCAATCTCCTCTCCCTCTCCCTCTCCCTCTCCCTCTCCCTCTCCCTCTCCCTCTCCCTCTCCCTCTCCCTCTCCCTCTCCCTCTCTCTCTCTCTCTCTCTCTCTCTCTCTCTCTCTCTCTCTCTCTCTCTCTCTCTCTCTCTCTCTCTCTCTCTCTCTCTCTCTCTCTCTCTCTCCCTCCCTCCCTCTCCCTCCCCCTCTCCCTCCCTCCCTCCCTCCCTCCCTCCCTCCCTCCCTCCCTCCCTCCCTCCCTCCCTCCCTCCCTCCCTCCCCAGGGTTTCTCTGTGTAGGCCTTGCTGTCCTGGAACTAGCTCTTGTAGACCAGGCTGGCCTCAAACTCACAGAGATCCGCCTGCCTCTGCCTGCTGAGTGCTGGCATTAAAGGTGTGCACCACCACCATCCAGCTTTTTTTTTTTTTTTCTTTTTTTTTGGTTTTACGAGACAGGGTTCGGCTGTGTTTTCTTTGTTAATACCAGCATAGTGGGACACACCTGTAATCCAACTTGGGAGGTGGAGAATTGAGAGTTCTGACCAGTCTGCACTTGTTACATAGTGAGTTCTAACCAGCATGGTCTACAAAGTGAGACTCAATCTCAAAAACCAATCAGAACAGCCCACACATGTGCTTATGGTCATAGCACACGGGAGATGGGTCAGAAATTCAAGGTCATCCAAGCCATCAAATTACAACCTAACCTAGGCTATAGGAGACTTTTCATTATCCATAAATATTTCACTACCTTTATATCCTCTGCCTTTTGTTGAATTTGCTCTGAGTCTTGGATCTGAATTGTGTTGGTTGGTCTACTTCCAGGGGTGCCTGACCTGAACACTTCGATGTTAGGATTTGCCCGTCTGGTCATTCAAATATTTCCTCTACACTGGCCCCTGGTTGCCCTGATGAGCTGCATGGTTGGGGAACCCAGCGTCAGGAGTTTTGGCGGTTGGCTTGTAGAGAACATTGCTTTTCTCTCCCAGACTGCAGCCTGCTGGGTCCCTGTGCTCTCCACTGCCAGTGTCTCTGTCTCTAGAGAATCTCCTTAAGGAAACACTGGTCGGTTACACCACCATTCCTTCTGCCTTCCCACTGAATGTTTAATTCTAGGTGTTGAAAAAGAAGCATGAACTTACATTGCTCAGAGTTTCTTTTTCTGTAACTTTTGTAGTTTAACATATAATGCTGGCTGTTGAAGTTAAAAGAGTTCTGATGCCTGAATAAACCTTCCACAACCCTAGAAAACATGACTCTGTCTTCGACTACACTTATAATAGAGGGAAAATGGCTGACTTTTTTTCCCCCTCTTGTCCTTTATTTTCCAGGTTTTGAATGAAGAGTGTGATCAGAACTGGTATAAGGCAGAGCTCAATGGGAAGGATGGCTTCATTCCCAAGAACTACATAGAAATGAAACCACATCCGTAAGTTGGACTCCAAGTTCTCATCTATTGTCCCAAGAACCGGTTTCATTTGGATTGTTGGGGCTGGGGCCTGGTCTCAGTGTAGCCTTGGCTGCTCTGTAATGAGGCTGACCTCACAGAGACCCACCTACCTCTGCCTTCCTAGTTCTAAACTTAAAGCTGTGTGCCATCGTGCCTGGGTTAACTTGGTTTGGTGAGATGGTCATACCATATGTATACCCTGCCTCAGCCTTCCAAAGTCCTGGTGTTACAGGCATGCACCACCATGCCAAGCTACCAAATACTGTTGTTAAATTTAAAATGGAGCCCACAGTGAGGTGTCACGGTGCATACCTGTGATCCCAGCACTTGTTCGGCAGGTGGGTGGGTCACAGCCAGTTCATGGCCAACAAGAGATGCACGGTGAGACATTATCTCAAAAACTAAAAGTACAAACAAAATAAAAACCATTGGCCAGGGGCTGGAGAGATGGCTCAGAGGTTAAGAGCTCTTCCAGAGGTCCTGAGTTCAATTCCCAGCAACCACATGTTGGCTCACAAACGCCTATAAGGAAATCTGGTGTCCTCTTCTGGCCTGCAGACAGACGTGGTGGTAGGGTGTTGTATTCATAATAAGTTAAAAAAGAAAACCATTGGCCAGGCGTGGTGGTACATGTCTGTGATCCCAGCACTTGGAAGACTGAAGCAAGAGACTTGTAAGCCCAGGGCCAACCTGAGCTACATAGAGATCTCAGGACCAGCCTGAGTTACCTGGAATTTTAGAGCCAACCTGGATTACATTGGGGATTTCAGAGTCAGCCTGCACACACCAAGACCCTATCTTAGAGAACCAACTAGAAAGAAAACATGGCTGAGCTCTGCAGGGGTGGTCTAAGGTTTTCTTATTAACATTAGCATGTAGTGACAGGGTAAGGCTGGTGTCTGGAATCTCTGAGAGTCATACTTTTTTTTATATATACAAGTTTCCTAATTCTTTCTCATTGAGACCTTTGGTGCCCAGTGCATCTCATGATTTCTTATGTTTTGAGTTTTACACAGAGTTCTTACCATATGGTTTCTTGCTGATGCATTTGATGACCCATGGAATGGTATCTTCATTGTCTCCGCGTTTGGCTCTTCCTAAATGTTTGCTTTTCCATGCAGAGTTCCCATTTCAGAGAGAAGATAGGTTCTCCCAGGCTGCAGGAGCATTGAGGCCTGACTTAACCCACTCCTTCCAGCCCCTACAATGAGCATTTTTAGTTTTCTTCAAAGCCCCTACCCTACCAGGCTTTCTTAGCATTGTGTAGCTTGGCGGAGGCCTGGGCCTGTGTATCATGCACGCACGAGCAGTCATTTGCACACCTTGTAAGTCAGAGGAGCCCAGGATCTCAATGCTCAGACTACAGTGCCCAGTGACCCCTCTTAATGCTAAGTGTAAGACTGTCGGGTGCCCTGCTCCCCAGTGGCCCCTCTTCTCATGATCACCACTCTCATAAACACCTGTCCATTTACCCCCCCCCCCCCAAGTACTGGAGCAGAGATCACAGTGTGTTGCTTCAGACTTCCACAGATATGGGGATACCCTCTTTCATGTGTCATGGAGCCAGAAGGGTCATCTGACTGGTTGTTTTTATGCTACAAACTATGAAGGCTTCTGGTGGTTTTGCTCCAGTGCTAATAACTTACGAATGTAGCGCTCACTGTGAAGGCTTCATGGTGGGAAGAAAGAAAGGGAAGGGAAGCATAGAGCCATGAGCCAGTTTGTTCCCATGCATTGGTCCTTGCAGGTAACTGGGCCAAACGCCACAATAGACCAAATCCTGAGTCTCTTCTCAAGGTGATTTTTTTTTTCCTTCTCCACAAAGCAGACAGCTTAGCACATGCCTTGGTCAGTGAGTTCTTACAGAGTGTTGTCATGTGGCCTGGCTACAAGGTAATGAGAAGGTGTGATCTGCAGTTAACCTGCCCGGTGATGAAATAAATCCTCACACTGTCCTGGGGAAGCTCTTAGAGATAATGTCCAGGCAGCTGCATTAGCCTAGAGATGCAGACTTTGATTGCCTGCAGGGGATCACAGAGGACATTGATGCTTCAGAGAGAGAGAGAGGGAGGGAGGGAGGGAGGGGGGGGGGAGAGAGTGAGAGAGAGAGGCCTCGAGGAAATGGTTTTTACTTCAAGGACAGTCAGGCACCTCATAATGTTTACATATTCCATGGGGTGATTTACAAGATGAAGAAGGTCTCATTTGTATATTTTTTCTTGCTTTTGTTTCTCGGGCAAGTATGTAAGTTTAGTCTCTCCCCAAAAAATTTAGGTTCCTGCCGGGCGTTGGTAGCGCACGCCTTTAATCCCAGCACTTGGGAGGCAGAGGCAAGCGGATCTCTGTGAGTTCGAGGCCAGCCTGGTCTACAAGAGTTAGTTCCAGGACAGCCTCCAAAGCCACAGAGAAACCCTGTCTCGAAAAACCAAAAAAAAAAAAAAAAAAAAAATTTAGGTTCCTTGGAGAATTAGGTTGGGCTTCTGCTCTTATATTCCACTGTAACTTGTACCGTGGTTTTTGGGTCTTTGGGTTATGGGAGTGGTGGTGGTGTTTGTTTGTTTGTTTTGGTTTTCGGAGACTGGGTTTCTGTGTGTAGCCCTAGCTGTCCTAGAACTCACTCTGTAGACCAGGCTGACCTCGAACTCCCAGAGATCCACCTGCCTCTGTGTCCCAAGTGCTGAGATTAAAAAGGCATGCGCCATCACTGCCTTATGTACCTTGCTGTTCTATACACAGTGGTTCATTTAAAAATAAAAATTCTGATATTCAGGCTTAAAGCTTTAGTGAAGGAATCTAAATGCTAAACTTTCAAATAACCGGCGTATACACATTAGATTCCTGGACCTGTCTGTGGTTGAGAGTGCCCCTTGCCTGAGCTCCTGTAACCTTAGATTGGGCCCAGTGTGTAGGATAGCTGGCCCAGGTTCCTGAAAGGCATGCTTGAGTGGGAAACCTCAACATGAGCTTCTTCCATCTGATTCTTTTTAAAGTTTTATGTATTTATTATGTATAGAGCATTCAGCCTTGGGAATTGAATAGTAGGCAAGCATTTATCAATGAACTATGCACAAGTCCCTTAAAGTTTATACTTTGATGACCCATTAAGGCCAGGCTCACAAGGCCCCAGAATCCACCCCTAGCACCATAAAAATATTAATTTTTAAAAGTAAAAACTGTAAAGGCACGTGGTTTCATGGCAGAACGCTTGCCTCAAACTCACGAGGTGCCAATTTCCAGCCCTAGAGTAGAGAGGAGAAAGATGGGTGTGGTGGTGTGTGCTTGTATTTCCCAACATTCCAGAGACTAAAGTAGGAAGATCACAAATGCAGGGCCGCCCAGGGCCTGACAAGCCGGATGATGGCGCAAGTTCAGTCCCAGATCCCAGGGCGGAAGGAGAGGGCTGACCCTCAGAAGCTGCCCTCTGACCTCCACAGGAGCATCAGGGCACGAGTACCCACGAGTGTGCACTCACAAACTAACAGATTTTAAAAACTAAAGAAGGAAAAAGGCCAGCCTGGGCTTACATAGCAAGGTGGCCTGAGAGCCGTGGTTTCCTGACGGCTGTGCTGGATTAGAACAAGACTCTGCTGGGTACAGTGGCGTGGTCTACGCCCCCCAGATGGTCTGGTAATGGGCATTTTGAATCAGCTTGTTAAAGATAGAGCCATACTCCTTAGGAAGGTCCATAGGTTTTGCCACTGGCGAGGAGAGCCCCTCGCATGACTTGCCGTTTCCCTTCCATGAGAATTTGGAGTGGTGGGTATACCTACCTATAATCTCCTGAGGTTAGGGCAGAAGTAGTAGAAGTTCAGGGTCAGCCTGGGCAACTTAGCAAAATGAAAGGGTCAGGGGGTATGAGCTCAGTGGTAGAACACTTAACCTGCAAGGATGGGGCCCTAGGGTCAACTCTCAGTCCTCCAAATAACTGCCTACCTAGGAAGCATCAACATGGTCTGCTGGGCTACTTGGGGCTGGCAGGAGGAAAGTCAGTGACCCTCCATGCTGAGCTCTGCAGAAGGAACTACACACTCAAGCCTCTCTCCAGGTCTGTGATCGTGCTGGGATGCTGCTGGTCCCCAGTGCTTCTGTGACTTCACAGGCTTCCAAGTGGCCCAGTGTACCTGTAGCTTAGTGTGGCACCACAATTACACAATAGAGTGCCAGCCACCTAATGATGCATTTGGTCCACATGAAGGCCGACAGTACGAGTAGTGTGTGCCCCTCAGATCCACACACACTCTTCATAGTAAGTACATGTGGGCGGAGGCCTATGGCGTGCTATAAATAATACACTGGAAAATACACCTCTCCTCCCCCTTGGCTTCCTTGCTTGCTATTTCTAGGGTAGTACAGACCAGTCTTTTTAAAGATTAGCAGAACATTTGTCTGAAGGCATGCAGTTATACATAAATAACACCATTAAAAGAAACCCGTCAGGCTCGGTCTAGCTCAGTGGTAGAGGGGACTAGCCCTGCATATACAAGGCCCAGCACTGCAAACAGTAATACTTGTAGAGAAGCTTATTGGGTTTATAAAAGCCTGTGAAAGTAGAGTATCCGACTGAGTGCTGTGTGCTGTTCCTCCTGCTGTATGGGGGTCTTGAGACCCCATGGACTAGAACCAGGTGCAGATAGACAGATTTTTGGTTCATAAAATGGTTCTCAAACTAATGTTTCCTTCTGTTTTAGTTTCTGAGACAGGGTTTTGGTATGAGACCCAGACCAGCCTTGAGATTACACTATTCCTCCTTCCTCTTCCTTCCCAGTGCTAGGATCACAGCTGTGCATTAACACACTCAGCCTTCTTGTTCTGGACACGTTTCTTTTATAAAGTTCCAGTAAGGAGCCAGGTGGTGATAGCGGTATGGCAGGCGCTCTTCTAATCTCAGCCCTTGGATTAAAGGCATCCACCGCCCCCGCCCAGCTCTAACTAGCTTTTCTATGTGTAGTAACTTCTGATGTTCCCGGTGCTATGGTTTGGTTTTTGTTTGGGCTTTTACATGGTGCTTAGTATGGAACTCAAGGCAAGTGTCCTGGCACTGAGCAGTGTCCCCCACCCCCATGCTCTGTCTCCCCTCAGGACTTGTCCCAGTGGCTGGGAAAGCTGCACCCTGGGCCTGTCCTGAGGCCAGAGAGGAGTGCTGGCATCCAACACCTGTCTGCTCTCAGCAACCAAGCCTCCCTTTGTGCCTTAGCAGAAGCAGCCCTGCCTCCAACTTGTGGTCCTTCCAAGTACCCCCCTGCACTCCGTTCTTCACCCCGTGTGACAGGGCTTTCCTGAGTGCCCTTCTGATGATGGGGGTGAGGGTGTCTGTCTTCAGAAACCTGTCTTCAGGTGGCACATTTGGAATTGCGTCCTCGTTGTCTTCAGGTGCACAGGTGTCTTCCTTGAGTCTTGAGCGAGAGAGTGGAGTGGGCGGAGCTGCTTCAGAGCTCAGCTCATCTCTCTGGAAGGCATTGGTGAGCCTTAGGCAGGAGACCAGTGGGTGAAGAAGCCTCCACCAACAAGGAGAGCTCTCGTATTTACATGTGAGGCTGGACAGCCCAGTTTCTTTGTGGGGAAGCAGATGTTGACTGGATTGCCTTCCTTCCTTAGGTGGTTTTTTGGCAAAATCCCCAGAGCCAAGGCAGAAGAAATGCTTAGCAAACAGAGGCATGATGGGGCCTTCCTAATCCGAGAGAGCGAGAGTGCCCCTGGGGACTTCTCCCTGTCTGTCAAGTAAGTATTTCCTGCTGGAGTTGTCCGCAAAAACTTGCTGCCATTGACTAAAATGTAAGGCTGTGGGAAGATGCTAACACACATTTCCGTGGAAATCCTGGTGTTTTTCATGTTACGCAGTATTTTTCTTTTTCTTTTTTTTTCTTTTTGGTTTTTCAAGACAGGGTTTCTCTGTGTAACCCTGGCTGCCTTAGAACTCACTTTGTAGACCAGGCTGTCCTCAAACTCAAGTATCCACCTGTCTCTGCCTCCTGAGGGCTGGAATTAAAGACGTGCACTGCAACACCTGGCTTGCAGTATTTTTTTTCCCAAACTGAGTATAAGAATAGTTTCCTCGGGGAAGGGAGGGAAAAAAAAGAATAGTTTCCTCTTGTAACAGGACTTTTGAAGGTTTGATTGGTTTGGTTTGGTTTTTCAAAACAGAGTTTCTCTGTGTAGCCCTGGCTGCCCTAGAACTTGCTCTGTAGACCAGGCTGGCCTCGAACTCACAGAGATCCACCTGTCTCTGCCTGTGGAGCACTAGGATTAAAGGCGTGTGCCACCCCACCTGACTTGAAGTTCCTGACTGGACACACACATGTAAGGCTCTAAAGGCATCTTGGGCAGGGTTTGTAGAGTGACCATTCTCCCTCTTAAGTAGCTTTTGTGTCATCTGCTTTCCTTGGTCTCTACTGCCCCAAGTAGCAGTAAAACAGTTTAAGAAGGAGAAAGAAGTAACTAGTCAGTGGGTAGTGACACACCCAGCTCTGTGCATGTTCCTGGTGAAGATGCTAGGAAGTGCAAGCTATTCACTTCCCTTAAAGGAGATCTTGTAGGGCATGGAAACCGAGGACAGTAGCTAGAATGTTTGCCCAGCATGTGAGAGGCCTTGAGTTCCATTCCTAGCATAAACACTGCCTACAACTGGGTGTAATCCCAGCACTCAGGAGGCAGAGGCATGAGGATCATAAGTTCTGGCTCATCCTTGGCTACACAGCGAGTTCAGAGTCAGCCTGGCCTCCATGAGCCCCTGGCTGGTGACCTGGCTCCGTGAGTGAAAGAGGTGTCGTCCAGCCCAGCAACACCTGTGTTGGAGCCCCAGGGCCTCCACGATAGAAGATTGCTCACACTGTCCTCTGACCCCACGCCCACCCCACACATGCACATACTGAGAAATTAATCTTAAAATTAAACTAAACTTAACTGGGCGGTGGCGATGCATGCTTTAATCCCAGCACTCAGGAGGCAGAGGCAGGTGGATCTCTGTGAGTTTGAGGCCAGCCTGGTCTACAAACTACAAAGTGAGTTCCAGGATAGTCAGGATTGTTACACAGAGAAACCTCTAAAAAAAAAAAAATGAATAAATAAATAAAAATTAAAACTTTTTAAAAAGTTAATGTGCTATCACTTTAGTAATAAAATAAAGCCCCAGGGAGTGGGGGGGGGTCGGGGAGGAGGATAGAGAACCTACCACGTAAACATGAGGACCTGAGTTAGCATCCATGGTGTAAAAGCTGGGGCAGAAGAGAGATGGGTGTCCCTGGAGCCAGGTGGCCAGCTAGCCTGGCTTAACCAGTGAGCTGCTGGCTCAGAGAGAACATGGGAGAGGCTTCCATCATTGACGTCAGTTTCCACACACATGCTCACACGAGCTGGGCAGGGAGACACTGTAGACACTGCCATTAACACAAGCGTCTTCACACGGCACCAGCCTCAGATAGTACACGGTTTCAAGATGTCAGAGTCTGGTTACAAAGCTGAGGTAGAAGTGACGCTGGCTGGCCATCAGTGACCTGCACTCTCTGGAAGTCAGGTGCAACCCTAACCCTCCAGCAGGCCTTTGGATCTGCAGCCCTCTTGAGGGTGTCGACAGCGCATTGAGTTCAAGTGAAGAAAATGTAATAATGACGTCTCCGTCTGCTTTGGTCTTGTTTTCCTCCATTTCAGCTACCAGAGATCAACTGGCAACTGCAGAAATAACTCCTGGATTTTAAATAACTTGATTTCATATTGCTGTAATACGTGTCTACAGGGGAAAACAGTGTATCTGGTTTCAGATTTGCCCTGGGTGTTTGGAAACACTAGTGTCCTGCCCTCCCTAGCTGCAAGCTCAGTGCTGCCATCTGCTGGATTGTCTTCAGAATTCCTTCACTTTCTTTAAGCCTTAAACTGAAGGAGACTCTGGAAAAGATTTGGCAGTGAATAGGAAACCAGGGTCCTGGCTGAGTGACTGTCCTGCCCAGATGTCACTGGGGCAGACCCTGTGGGCCTGCCAGCATCAGTGGTCACACCTGTTAGCCTTGTTCACCAGTACAAAAGAGCATGTCCACTGATAAGAGTGTTTTGTTTCTTCATAGTTGGGGCTCATTACCCTGAAAAAGAAAAATAGTATGGCAGTTGCTCAATGGAAACCATGACTTTGGCGACCCTGGGGAGGCTGAGTTAGGAGATCACCATGAGTTTTAGACCAGCTTAGCCAATTAGTAAGTTCGAAGCCAACCTGAGGTAGTGTTTGGATGTCACATGGCTTTTTTAACCTTTAAAGCAGATAAACTTGGAGCTTCATTCATGGGCTGTGTTAGTAGATCCACAGGTATCTTCAGGGTGAGACTAGTGGGTGGACTTCCCTCTGTGAGGCTTGTCCCTGTGACCATCAGTCAGGGGAGGTCTAGGGGAGGCTCCCGGGACAGTCCCTGCTCTGTCCGGCTGAAGACTGTGCAGCTATTGTGCTGCAAGATCTGAAAAGCCACGCCAGACTGCAGCTGCCTCATGCCCGTTCTCCCATCCTCAGGTTTGGAAATGATGTCCAGCACTTCAAGGTGCTCCGAGACGGGGCCGGGAAGTATTTCCTGTGGGTGGTGAAGTTTAATTCTTTGAATGAGCTGGTGGATTACCACAGATCGACATCCGTGTCCAGGAACCAGCAAATATTCCTCCGGGATATAGAGCAGGTGCCACAGGTAAGCCAGCGCTTCGGGCCCTTCCAGCAACTGTGAGGCCCTTCAGACATGGAGGTCCTGTGAGGGAGGACTGTCTGCTCAAACCCCTGTCCCTTGCTTACCAGCAGGAGTTTCAGTCAGGACTGCTTTTTTGACCTAAGTGACTGGAACACAGACATTTTTATACCTGTCAACAGAGCTAAAGTACACACAGCCTATGTTGTTGCTGCCCCATTAGTTTCATGTGGCCCACTGGCCATCCTCAGTGACATAGGGTTTTAAATATCAGTAAAGGATTACTTTAACCCCACCAAGGATCTAGGGATGGGTGGGAGTGGGGGGCTGCTTTGGGGTGGGTGGGTTTGCACGTGTTCACCGGGCTCATGAGGCAGCTGGCGGCATTAGGAATGACGTTCACGTCCCCTGCTTCTCTTTTGCAGCAGCCAACGTATGTGCAGGCGCTGTTTGACTTTGACCCCCAGGAAGACGGTGAGCTGGGCTTCCGCAGAGGAGACTTCATCCATGTCATGGATAACTCAGATCCCAACTGGTGGAAGGGGGCCTGCCATGGGCAGACCGGCATGTTTCCCCGCAACTACGTCACCCCAGTGAACCGGAGCGTCTAAGACGCAGAAGAGGGTGTGAGAAGAAAGTGAGGAGTTGACACGAGGAGTGCGCCCACACGCGGCCTGCCGCAGCCTGTGAGGGAGTGCTGAACGCCTGGCTGGGTCCTGCTGGCGACCCTCTCACTTAGGCTGAAACTTTGGGGGGTGGGAAGGGGTGTTTGATTTCATAATGCCAAAACTTAACCTATTGAATTGAATTACAGTTTTTATTACAGAATCTCACCGCTACTCCTGTCCCCTCCTGTCCTTTTCTTATCCTTCTTTCCTGTCCTTCAGTGCATGACATTTGAGGCCACATATAGCCCCAGCTGATGCCATAATAAAAGAAAAGAAACCAAGTGGGCTGGTATTTTCTCTATGCAAACTGTCTGTGGAGATGGATGGACTAAAAGAGCTATATTCTTCACACACAAGGGGCGGCCAGGGCACCCGAGGCCCTTGCATGGGCTTCTGCCAGAGATGCCTGAGGGCATTTGCCTCCGGCCCCCAGCCTGGAGCCATCCGTCAAGGTTGGACTTAGGGGAAGGAGGCAAGCACCCGCCTCTGGCTCCCAGTCACTGCAGACCCGCGCCTCCTCCCAGCGTCTCCCCTTCAGGTGTTGCTAAGATGTTGTTTTTCATAGTGCCTTTTTTCTTGTTTCAAGGGTGTTTTATGAGTGGTGTTTTTACTTTTTTTTTTTTAATAAGTTAAAGACAGTCCAGAGCTTTTCCTGTCCTGTATAAATATTTTCCTCTCAGGGCAGAGGAAACAGGGTGGAGAAAGGAGACAGTAGAAGCAGAGCGTGGGCATTTCCCAACTGGAGGGGCCAGAGGACTGGGAAGACTCACCTCCCTGGCCTCTAGTCTCAGCTGTGGTCCTATGCCTGGAGCCAGTTAAGTGTCAAACACAGAAGACGGAGGAGCAGGTGGCATCCAAGCTGCCCTCCTGCTGTCACAGGCCTATACTCAAGTGGGAGTTGAGAATATGGCTTTTCATTTTTCTTGCTCTTAGAATTAGGTCCTCGATCTCAGTTGTGCATTTAAACCTGCCCAAGAGCGCAAATAGCAGGATTGTGGGTTGGTGTGTGCACAGCTGTTCTGCCGCATCCCCCTGTGAGGTGGGAAAGACCACGAGCCATGCCGAGCTCTGCGTCTGTCTCCTGTGAGCTTCCAGTCCTCCGTAGTCACGTGCCTGCACACCGATCTCTCCACCCAGCCTCCTCCCCACAGCAGAAACAAGGCTCCTCCTAGTCAACCTTGGAGTCGGTGGTGCCCTTGGGCTGCTGGGCTCTTGGGGTGGGGTCTTCCCTGGACTCTTGTGAGATGGGCTCGGCCCTGCCCTGGAGGTGGCTCCCCGCCTCCTGGTTCTGCTTCTTCTTTCCCTGCTGATGATAAAAATAATCTTGAGTTACACCTGGGCCATTTGATTGTTTTACTTTGGAATTGGTGTATATCATGAAGCCTTGCTGAACTAAGTTTTGTGTGTATATATTTAAAGATCAGTGTTTAAATAAAAAGACCTATGTACTTACTCCCTTAACTTCTGCGGATAGCGATTTGGTAGGTAGTGATTAACTGTGAATAAACACAATGAATTCTTCACTGTGTATCTTTATTTCTCCCTGATGGCGTCTCTATATTACAGACAGGGTCTCTCTCACTGTTGCCCCGACTGGCGTGGAATTCACAGGGCACCACCCACCTCTGCCTCACAGATGCTGGGATTAAAGGCTTGGAGTTTGCTATCACAGGCTGACACATCTAGCTCCTGTGATCCTAGGACAAGTGATGTAGTTCATCATTTGGAAATTGGTTTAGACCAAGAGCTGGGCTCCCAAGGCTGCTCTTGATCTTTGAGGAAGTAGCTGAGACATGTTGACTTTGCTGCTCCTAGGGTGAGACAAGCCTGGAGACCACAAGTACTAGCTGTGGCACATAAAGCAAGGGTTAATAGTTGGACAAAAGAGAAATTACATTGAGCCAGCAACCTCCATTGTGGTGTCACAGCTAGGGAGTTTCCAGTGCCACCCCCTCCCTCTCAGTGAGTTTATAAGCAAGAGGGAGCTGCTCCTGTCCCCCTACCAGCTCTGGTTCCATGCAGACTACTTGAAGCTAAGCAGAAGTTCCCAAAATGAGGTCACCAGAGTAAAAGGCAGAAACTTGACATTGTACCCCATTTGTGTCCTTGATGAGTTTGACCTCTTCCTGGTTTGGGGGCTTCATTTTTTTTTCTTGGTACTGGGAACCCAGAGCCTTGCACTTGCAAACACTGTCTCTGAGCTGGGTCTCCTGTCCTGGTCCCTCTCTGTTCAGCGGCTTCAGAGTTTAGCATCAGGAGGAATGGTATAACTGGCCTTCAGGCAGTCATGTTGAGTCACAGATTTCCTGATGTGTGTTTCCCCATTCTCCCGTGGATCAGATTCCTGGCAAAGGGTCTCTGCTCAGTTATCCCTGAACAGATATCTGCCAGGACCAGCTCTGCTGTGCCTCGTGGTAAAAGCTAGACCGGGCAAAGCCTTGAGGGTACTTCCACTAGCCAACCTGGCCTATCACAGTGGCCCTCCTGGTCCCAAGACTCCATCATATACCCAGGAGCTAGGTATGAAATAAGGTCATGACTATGACGGACAGCTAAGTGCTTCCAGCATGTCTCACAGCAACAGCCAACTATCTTCCTCTTGACACTTGTCCCCTGGGCCTGCTTATAGGCTAGGTGACCTTCAGCCCCAAATATTTTATTTAGGAAAATTGCTAGGTAGCTAGAGGGAATGAAGGTGGGTTTCTATGAATGTGTCTTCAAAATACTGAAAATACACTGCATCTATCTGTTGGGTTCACCTAGTTTGCACTCAAAGGTTTTGGAGGGCGTTCATATTTCCAGAAATTTAGGAACATTTAGGGGGGGTTCTTCATTTTTCTGTCTTTTATTATTTCGTATATATTTTAACCTTTGGTTTTTTGAGACAGGGTTTCTCTGTATTGTTTTGGAGCCTGTCCTGGAACTTGCTCTGTAGACCAGGCTGCCTCACAGAGATCAGCCTGCCTCTGCCTCCTGGAGATTTTATTTATTTTATGTATATGAATATTTGAATGTATGTTTATGTACCATGTGAGTACTGTAGGGTTAAAGGACCAGCCAAAGAAGCACACCCTAGGGGCTGGAGAGATGGCTCAGTGGCTAAGAGCACTGGCCTCTCTTCTAGCAGACCTGGGTTCAATTCCCAGCACCCACACGGCAGCTCACAACTGTCTGTAACTCCAGTTTCAGGGGCTCTGGCACCCTCACACAGGCAAAACACCAATTCACATAAAAAAGAAACTACTTTTAGAAAGAAGGGCTGAGTGGTGGCGCACCCCTTTAATCCCAGCACTCGGGAGGCAGAGGCAGGTGGATCTCTGTGAATTCGAGACCAGCCTGGTCTACAGAGCTAATTCCAGGACAGCCTCCAAAGCCACAGAGAAACCCTGTCTCACAAAAAAAAAAAAAAAAAAAATGCCCCATGTGGTGGCCCACACCTTTAATCCCAGCACTCCAGAGACAGGGCAGGCAGATGTCAGTTAGTTTGAGGCCAGCATGGTCTATAAGGAGAGTGTCAGAAACCCTGTCTCAAATCAAGAAAAAAATAAGAAAACAAAAATCAGGTGTCCAGACATTGTGACGCCCACCTTGAAGCACAGCTCTTTGGAGGCAGATCTCTGAGTTCAAGTCCAGTCTGGTCCCTAGAGGCCAGCCAGAGCTACATAGTGAGATTTGTCTGTAAATAAATAAGGGCTGGAGGAGCTAAGAGAGATGGACTTGCTCATAATCCTGGCACTGAGGAGGATGGAGACTTCTGCCTGGGCCCATGACAGGACCAGATCTCCTGGGACCATTGAGGTAGGAGGTCGGGACTGGACTCTGGTCCAGCGTGAGATGGTTTGGGGTTTCCGAGACAACCTTTTCAGCACTCTTGCTTGGGAGTTAGAAAGCACAGCCTCTCACTGTGACTCAGCACCTGGACCTGGCTGTCTGCACATCATCCCCTTCCCTGTGAAGCAGAAGGCCTCAACCCGAGATCAACCTCTTCCCTGTCTCCTGGAGGCATTGTCAGGCCCCCTGGTGACAGTGTTCCCCGTAGGGCACATGGCCTCTTCTGCTCTGGAACGGTCTGGGGTGGGGTGGGGTGGGGTGGGGGTAGGGGGGGTGGGGGTGGGTTGGGGACTTCCCCCCCATGAGGAACAGGCTGAGGAGAGTCTCATCCATCCCCCACAGATCAGCAGCCTCCTCCACTCCTGCCCTGCAGACATCACTGAGTCATCCTGAGACTGGAAATTACCCCATTTTGGTCTTCTACTGTACTGCTAGGGAGGTGTTAGCCCAATTCTTAAACTGCTGTGTGAGGCAGGGGCGGGGTGAATGCAGAGAGGAAGTGGGGGAGGGCGTGCCAACAGGAGATGATGGAAGTTACCAACAGCTTGGTCTGTGGGTATGGTTGTTTGGACAGTTTTAACAGGTGGGCTGGAGGTGTAACTCACACGCTTCAGCTAGGCAATGCCCTGAACAGGGTTAGCGGGCCTGGAACGGCTGAGTACCTTGGGCCAGCTCAGAAGTGTCCTTAGCAGCCCTGTGCGGTGAAGTCTGTCTGGGCCAGTGGGGCTCTGATCCAGTCGCCCAGCAATGACTGACCTTCTTCTGAAGTGGAGGCTTCCTTCTGACCTGCACTTAGCTAGCAGGCTTAATATTCAAGGCCATGCGTTTAAAATAAAATAATCAAAACCAAACTCTCTAAACATGGTGGTTTCTGCCTACAATCCAGGAAACGGAGGCAGGAGGATTGCTGCTAATTTGAAGCCAGCCCAAGTGACATAGTAAAATGGAGGCCAGCCTACATTGTAGTGTGATATCTTGTCTCAAGGAAGTAAAACAATGTTATACCTAGAAAAAGAAAGGAAAGAAATGGAGGAGGATGGCAACGTCTGCACCTTAGTTAGTTCTGTATGCGGCGTCCGTAGCTGTGGCACTGGTGCTGTGGAATGACACCAGCCTGGCATTCAGTGGGCACCTGGGCCAATTCCCCTCCCTCCCCCACTGCCGAGGCCTCCTGATGCCCAGGTTTCTCTCAGACCCTCCTGTGCCTCCGTCCTTCCTTACTGACCCTCAGGCCTCTCTGGCTCACCCACAGATCTGGAACCTGTCAGGAGGCCTCACTGTAAAGCTTATCACACTCCACCGTGGCTCCCCTGCAGCCCTCCAGCCCCGCCCCGCCCGCCCCGCCCCGCCCCAGCTGTTTGTCTCGGTCAACTCCCGGGCTGCAGCCCTGCCTGACCTGTGTCCTCTGCCCTCTTGCTCCCAGAGCCCTTTGCCCTGCATCAGCAGCTGCCGTCCTCGTCCTCACCTGCAGCCAGGACAGTAGGAAAGGGGTCAGGGCCCCCAGGCTCGGCCACGCCCACGGCAGGTTGTTTCCTGCGTTGGCGCTGGGTCTATGACCTCGAGTGAATAAGTGACTTTTCTAAGGCTCCGGGGAAGGAACTGAGGTTGGTAAAAGGCCCGACAGAACCACGGATGTAAGGGGCAGGAGACTCACTCATCTGTGCTGCTGCCAGCACTGAGTAAGTCACCCTGTGTTCAGCTGGTGCCTAAGCTGAGGTTGTCACCAAAAGTTCACTAGTTTATACTGACTTGTCAAAGCTGGCGATCAAAGCCAGAGCTCCAATACGCTATGCACATGCGTAGTCTCCTACCACTGAGCCATGCCCCTAACACCTTTTTGTTGTTGTTTGTTTTATCTAGACAGGGTTTCTCTCTTTGTAGCCCTCGCTGTCCTGGAACTCCCTTTGTACACCAGGCTAGCCTTCAACTCACAGAGATCCGCCTGCCTCTGCCTCCCCAGTGCTGGGATTAAAGACGTCTGCCACTACTGCCCCACCCATTTTTGTTTTTGAGACAGGGTCTCACTATGTTGTCCTGGCTGTCCTGGAACTAGTATAGACTAGGCTGGCCCTTAAACTCAGAGAGTCTCCTGCCTCTACCTCCTGAGTGCTGGATTTAATAGTATGTACCACTACACTAGGGGTGTGTGTGTGTGTGTGTGTGTGTGTGTGTGTGTGTGTGTGTGTGCTTAGATCTGTGTGTGGTAATTCTATCACTCAGAATGCTGAGCAGGAGGGTCAGGGCTAGCCTGGTGTACATGGCACGATCCAGGGCTACTCAGACTCTGTCTCAAAATCAAAACCACAAAAAGTGTGAAAGTCAGGCTTAGTGATACACAACTTTAATTCCAGTATTCAGGAGGCAGAGGCAGAGGCCAGCAGTGGGTCTCTGTGACAGCCAGGGCTACAAAGTGAGACTCTGCTTCAAATAAATGAACAAACACACAAATTCAACCTTACTCGGGTTTGGTGTCTCATCGCTACAATCCCAGCCCTCCACGAGCTGAGAGAGAAGACTGATGTTTGAGGTCAGCCTATGCTACATGGTGAATCCCAGGCTAGCCTATGCTATATGGTGAATCCCAGGCTAGCCTATGCTATATGGTGAATCCCAGGCTAGCCTATGCTATATGGTGAATCCCAGGCCAGCCTAGGTTAAGTATGATACTGTTTCAGTAAGCAAAATTTAAC